GTAACTTCAGGCTGAGCCAAGATTCCTGGAGCACCGCCCTGCTACCTCACCACCAACCAATTAGAAGAAAGTCACATCCCTGCAGTCTTTGCCCCAAATTTTACCTATTAAAAACTCTTGGAAAACCATCAGGGAGTTCAGGGTTTTTCTAAGCGTGAGCCACCCTTTTTCCTTCCTTGGCCCTGCCATCAATCTTTCTTTGCTCCAGACTCAAGCATTTCGGTATGTTTGGTTTCACTGTGCATCAGGCACATGAACTTGCATTAGGTTCAGTTCAGTCGCTCAGTCGTGTCTGACTCTTTGTGACCCCATGGACTGCAGCACGCCAGGCTTCCCTGTCCATCACCAACTCCCGGAGCTTGTTCAAACTCACGCCCATCGAGTCGGTGATGCCATCCAACCATCTCATCCTCTGTTGTCCCCTTCTCCTCCTGCCCTCAATCTTTCCCAGCATCAGGGTCTTTTCCAAGGAGTCAGTTCTTCACATCAGGTGGCCAAAGTATTGGAGTTTCAGCATCAGCATCTGTCCTTCCAATGAATATTCAAGACTGATTTCCTTTAGGATGGACTGGCTGGATCTCCTTGCAGTCCAAAGGACTCTCAAGAGTCTTCTTCCACACCACAGTTCAAAAGCATCAATTCTTCAGCCCTCAGCTTTCTTTATAGTCTAACCATCACATCCATACATGACTACTAGAAAAACCATAGCTTTGACTAGACGGACCTATGTTGGCAAGGTAATGTCTCTGCTTTTTAATATGCTGTCTAGGTTGGTCATACATCTCTGTAACATCAATGCCGCAGAGCTCAGCAGACCCACAAGTCTCTTTCTATGTTCCAGCTTCCCTGGCTGTTACGGTGGCCCTGTGATTTCTTTCAGCCAGTGAAATGTGGGAAATTAATGTCACTTTGGGGCTCAGGTGGTGTGGATCTGGTGTGCCTTCATTCCACTTTCTCCTCCATTTCACCTGGACGATCTAAGGGGGGACTTAAACTACAAGATGCTGGGGCCTGAAGATAGAAGCAGCCTGAGTTCCTGACTCACCAATTAGAAGAGAGCCACCCGTGCTTATCACAGTGTGATACGGACAAATTTACTTACAGGGCTTAGTGGTTTCTGCAGCACAGCCCAGCTCATCCTGACTAGTACTTTCTCCAAGTTGGCTTTTTTTTTTAATTATAAAAGATTAATTAGTAAACTAATGCTGGCACCATTTTCTGAAAAGACTTTTCCCCTTAAATTGCTCTGATGACTATTGGGAACACTTATGATGGTAGAAGCGTGTATCTGTGACTGGGTTCTGCTGCATGTCCCATGGATCCATCTGTTGATCCCAGTGCCAGCACCACAGTCTCCATACTGTAGCTTTGTGAAATAGAAGTCATATTTTTATGGCAAGATGAGATATTTAAACAAAAAATCTTCTCTGCCCTTTGGCCTACATTCTCCCCTCACTGTGCATTCTGTGTCTGCGTTATGCATCAACCAAACCTCCCCCATCAGCAGGAATACCAGTTCAACTATAAAGAGCAACATTCTCCCAGCATCAACTAGACAACTCCTGAAGAGACAGCATTCTTCTTCATCTTGTATGGGGTCACGTGACTTACTAGCATGACACTTGGATCTGGATCATGTAAACTGTCAATCTTCCGTCATTTGGGGTCTTCCCTGGTGGTGCGGTTCAGTCGGTAAAGAATCTGCCTGCAGCGCAGGAGACCTGGGTTTGATCCCTGGATTGGGAAGATCCTTTGGAGAAGGAAATGGCAACCCACTCCAGTATTCTTGCCTAGGAAATGCCACGGACAGAGGAATCTGGTGGGCCACGGAGTCTATGGGGTAACAAGAGTCAGACACGACTTGGTGACTAAACTACTGGTGGTGCAGTGGTTAAGAATCCACCTTGCAATGGAAGTGCCACGGGTCTGCTCCCTGGTCAGGGAACTAAGATCCCGCATGCAGTGGAGAAACTAAGTCAGAACACTGAGACTACTGTGCCAAAGAGGCGGGAATAGAAAGCCTCTGTGCCACAAGGAAGATTCCGCGTTCTGCAACTAAGGCCCAAACGCAGTCAAATAAATTGGCTGGCTAATAAGTATTTTAAAAATACGTCATTTGATGTATGGCCCTCTGTCTCAAAAAACTTACAGAACTGTGCCTTGACATCTAACAGATGGTTCTCAGAGCTTTCTGAGATGCTCCTCCTGGCTTATAATCCTCAAATTTGGCTCAAATAAAAATTTCCATTTCTTTCATAGATCAACAGATTAATTTTTCATCAACATCTCATAGTAGGTCTTGACATCAGGTTGTGTAAATCCTTCAACTTTGTTCTTTTTCAAATTTGCTTTTGAAAAAAATTTATTTGGCTGAGCTTGGTCTTAGTTGTGGCTCGTAGGGTCTTTGATCTTCTTTGCAGCATGCAGGATCTATTTCCCTGATCAGGGATGGAACCCCAGCCTCCCTGCCTTAGGAGTGCAGAGTCTTAGCCACTGGACCATTAGGGGAAGTCCCTCATATAAAATTTAGATGCAACTGGTCAATTTTTTGGTAATGTGTTTGTCTGATTTTGGTACCAGAGTAATGCTGGCTCATGAAATGATCTGGGAACTGTTCTCATCTATTTTCTGGAAGATCCTAAGATTGATGATATTCCTCCCCCAAATGTTTGATAGAATTCACGAATGAGACCATCTGATCCTGGAGATTTTTTTATGGGAATATTTTTGTTAAATTCAAATTATGTAATAAATATAGGACTATTTTAATTTTTAATTTCATCTTGGCTTACATTTTAAATAACATTTTTATTGAGACATCACTCATATAAAAAAGCGTACAGTTTTGAAGTATATAATTCACTAGAGTTTTTTTGTTGTTATTACATTCACAAAATTTTGTAACTATCACCAAAGTCTAATTCTAGAATGAAGTTAGTTCCCATTGAGTTTCTTGCTTTACTCTGCACTGCCCTCTGCTGTCTTCATCCTCTGGGTATCTCTGGGGTGGAGTCTCAGTTCAACCTCAGCAGGGGACGGACACATCTGATGACTCAAAATTTTCACCACTGTTTGTCTGAGAATGACCAGGAAAGTAAGTATTGATTTGAGGGTTACAAATAAGTTTTATTATGTGGGTGAATTTGAAACATGGAGTATAATGAGGATTGACTCTTTTCAATGGAAGCTTAAGGCTTCCCTTGTGGCTCAGCTGGCAAAGAATCCACCTGCAAAAAAAAAGAATCCGCCTGCAATATATCCCCGGGAGGAGTGAACAGCTACCTACTCCAGCATTCTGGCCTGGAGAATTCATGGACCGTACAGTCCATGGGGTCGCAAAGAGTTGGACAGGACTGAGCGACTCACTTCACTTTACTTCAAAGAAAGCTCATACTCATCAGCTGTTACATCCCATACATGCCGGCTCTCTCCAGCCTCAAGAGCTGGTTTATTTTGCAGATCATCATTCCTCTGGCATGCAGTGATGTGGGATGGACTGATGCTTAGTAAACAGTTGTCCAAAAAAATGTCAGATGGAGGGGCAAGTACACACAATTTAATTCTGAACCTTAGTTACAAAAATTTTAACTTTTTCTGATTATACATAGTATATGTCTATCATAGAACATATTTTGGTATTTGTAAAATATCAAAAAGTAGGAAGAGAAAACAAGTCAACCCTCAAGGAAATCAACCCTGAATATTCATTGGAAGGACTGATGCTGAAGCTGAAGTTCCAATACTTTGGCCACCTGATGCGAACAGCCGACTCATTGGAAAAGACGCTGATGGTGGGAAAGATTGAAGGCAAAAGGAGAAGCGGGTGGCAGAGGATGAAACAGATGCATCACCAACTTGATGGATGTGAATCTGAGCACACTTTGGAAGATAGTGAAGGACAGGGGAACCTGGCATGCTGCAGTCCATGGGGTCACAAAGAGTTGGACACGACTAAGCAACTGAACAACAAAGGAAGAGGAAAAAAACATTTTTACCAGTTTTGCAGTTTTTTTCAGGAACAATCACATGTAAACATTTTTGTGTGTTTTCAAGGCTTTTTTCTCTCTGAACAATACATGGTCCACCCATTCTGGCAGACCATGCTGCAGCCTGGGGGTGCCCGCCAGTCCCACCACCCCTTGGAGGTGGTTCGGCGGCTTGGGGGTGACTGTTCCTCTGGACCCGGTAAGAGAGGAGTCTGTACCTTTGAGGTGGCTCTGGCCCAGAGATCCAGGCCTGAGGTGGCTCCAGCCAGAGGAGGGATATTTTGGTCCAACTGGTGCTATCCTGGTTCTGTGCTCTGTGGATGCCCAGTGGTCTGGGGGGCTCAGTGCATGTCTAGGTCTTGAGGGCTGTTACATATTCCACATCTGGGAACATAATGGGGCGGGGGGTGGCTGCTGCACATGGACACTTCCTGGTGACCTGCCGTATACCCCTCTTCAAGGAACCTCGCTCGGCCTGACCACCAGTGCATGCTGACTCCAACCTGCTTACCGGGTGTCGCTGGCCTGCCCTATGCACATACACACACACCTGCCCATATGTACACAGCTATGTGCATTCATACCCACATACATACATTTACACAGCAATTCACAGATACATGGAAGCACACGTGTGGACACCCATGGACAGAGGCACACGAACTCAACGTATGCTTCTGTGCATGCTGGCGCATACACACACTCTAGTTCCACAGTATGCTAAAAAGGCAAGTCTTAACAGGCAGTCTGCCTTCTGGAGCAAGGTTTGTCTTGATTGCATCATTCCCTGCAGGAACACCACCTCCACAGCCCATACACTCTTCAGCTCACACTGGAGTCCAGTGGGCAGCTTCAGGCTCAGCTGGGCCAGCCAGGCTGTAAGGGACACAGATCTGCCCGGGAGGGAGCTAGTCTCGGGGCAGCGCCTTCCTGGGAAGGAGCTGGATGCTGTGTGGCCCTTCCTGAAGCTGAGCTGCCAGGTGTCACTGGTTAATTAACACAATGACCAACAGACAGTAACAGTCAAGCCTTTATTCACTTGTTGCAATAGCAGCGCGAGAGACCAGAAGGCAGGTGCTGGCTCCCCTTGTTCTGTTTCCTCCTCCTGTGGAAAGGCACTGTCAAGGTCAATGTGGGTCGACTGGTGGGATGGGGACGTCTCACTGCAGAGGGGGCCCCAAACAAGAGGCTCCTGCTGTTTCATGGACTTGTGGCCCCCGGGAGGGGGGAAGGATGGAAAGTACTGAGCAATGAGTCAGAGTGGAGGAAAAGTGTCTTCGAGGTCCCTCAGGAAGGACCTCTCGGCCAAGAGACCCCGAGAAGGTGGCCTCTGAATGGAGACAACCTGGCCAGGAGTAAGCTGCACCCAAGAGCACAGCTGTCCAGAGGGTCTGCACCCTTGTGGGCAGTTCCCAGTGGAGGCAGAGGCCCTGGCTGGGCTCCAGACCTGGTGTGGGAAGGGTGGCATCCCAAGAGAACAGCAAGTAAGGCGTCCGACAGTCACCTCTAGGGGGCAGCATCTCACACCCGACCCTGGCCAAGAATCCTCGCTCCAGCAGATGGGAACAGGATGGAGCCCTGGGAGGCAGATGCCAGCCCCCTCCCACGCCCCCAGCACTGTCCTCCTCTCCCACAGCACCAGCTCACCCGGGCCTGCCCGGGGCTGTGGGGAGGCCTGCCGGTCAGCTGGAGAGCCTGCTGGGCGCACGTATCTCCCTGGATGAGGGCCCGGCTGTCGCCGCCTGGAGTAGCCAACTGAGCCCAGGCGGGGACAGCACTGTTCCAGCACTGTTCGCCCACGTGCACCTGGGGCAGAGCCAGGCTTTTGGGTCGGGGATCACCGAGGAGCGAGGTGGCTCTGCTTCTGCACAGGACACCAGTCCGTGTCCGGGTAGAGAAGGCAGTGGATGGACTTAAACCTGGGAGGGAAGCAGGGGTCAGGCTGCTGGAGGGGTGGGCTGGCCCCAGCACTCCTCCCCACCGCCGGCTCACCGTGTGGGATCCTGCTGCAGGCTGAAGCCCCCAGCCACATTCACCACGTTATGAGGGTTCTCGGGTCCCCCGTAGCTCAAAGTGACCTGGGAGAGGAGAGGAAGCAGAGTCACTCTCAGGGCCGGCGCCTCCTACCTTGTTCTCCAGCAGAGACGCTGCTTGGCCTCCTGGATTCCAGCGCCCCCGCTGCCCCGCCAGGAGTCAGTATTCTTAGGGCAAACTCAGGAACACCACGGAAAGGTGATGGGGCCTGCTGGGGGCTGAGAGGCATGGCCAGCACAGCAGACACATGGGGGAGGCCGCTGGCACAAGTGTAGGGGCGAGAGGGCCTGGGCCCCCTGCCTGGGCCAGGTCTGTAACACTGGTCACGCCCAGACCACTGTCCCCAGCCCTGCTGCCCAGGGCTGCCCCCTGGGAAGGTACAGCAGCTGTTCTTTACAACAGGCCCTCATGTGAGCCTGGGGATCCCCCACAGCTGGGACTCCGGGTCCCAGCAGCCTGGATTCGGGGTCCACGAAACTTTGCTGCCATGCTGGGACCCACGGTTGTCTCGCCAGAATCCCTCCCTGAGCCCTTGCTCAGCTCAGGGGTGGGGGGGGGCCATGGGGGCAGGGCCCCCATGCAGGGCCGGCCATGGACGCAGCAGAGGCCCAGCCAGCCTACCTGCTGGAGCAGGGTGTCAGGTGGCAGCTTCTGTAGGTTCTCCAGGTGGGAGTGGAACAGTGAGCTATGCAGCAGGCGGGCGCCCAGCAGCCCCTCCACGATGTAGCCCACCGTGCAGTCGTCTGGCAGCCGCACCCGCTCGGCTGTGCTCATGAAGCCGCCCAGGCTGGGGAGCGGAGGGGGGGACAGGTCAGTGCCTCTCCAGCCTTGGGGAACCCCAACCCCCCACCCACAGCAGTCAGCACCTGCTTCCCTCCCACCACGCCTCCGTCACCTGGCCCATGGGCTCATCTTGAGAGCAAGGCCTCTGCTTAGGCAGAACCCGGCCCCACCAGTAGCGAACCAGAACTTGACCGTGGTCACCTGAAAAGGAGGGAGCCACTAGTCAGGGTTAGTCACCCTAAGTCTTCATCTGGACACCCTGAGGGTCATCCCTAAGCTGTCCCTTAACTGCTCCCAGGCCCAGGGGCAGAACCTTCCAAAGGGACAAGAGGACAGGGCTTCTAAAACTCACTTGCCTGTGGCTCCAGCCCCTCCTGACTTGCCCCAGTTACCAAAACACCGCCTCTGGGTGGATTGGGCATCAGCCCCAGCCCTTCCTTACTGGGGTCTCCATACTCTCAGCTGCCCCTGCCCGCTTCGCCCCAGCACTCACGGTTCCACCTCCCTGGATCCTCTCAGTAGCCTCGATGGGGTGGTCCAGGCTGGGCCGCCCCAGGTAGATGTCCTGGCTAGGTGAGAAGGTGGACAGCAGCTGCAGCAGGCCTTTGGGGTTCACATAATTGTCATCATCCACGTGGCAGAACCACCTGGGAACGTGTAGAAATCTGGAGCCAGGCTGGGCCCAGAGGGTGGGAACAGGGGAGCCCCTGACCCAAGTTGGGGACCAGCCTCCCTTGGCCCTGGGCCACCACATACTTGCGTCCAGACTCAATAAACTTGTCGTATTCCACTGACATCTTGCAGCACAGAGCCTGGCGGGTATGCACGGCGGAGCAGTTGGTGTTGATGACGTGGCCACCTGCCCATTGGAGAAATGGAAGCATGAAAGCCGGGGTGAGACCTGCTGCCAGCCCACCCCACTAAAGTTGGGCTAAATGCTGCTGGCTGGCCGGCACGAGGCCTGTCCTGTTCAAGACCGTGAAGTCAGACCCAATGGTAGTCCTGTCTTGGCCTCACTCAGTTGACCCTGTTGCCGCCATCCGAGGTCCAGGCAGATGACAACCACTTGGAATCCCATGCAAGCAAACCCACCAGGAAACAGGACTGAGAGGCTGGACCATCCCCATCAGGGCAGGCCTGGAAGGCATGGCTCCCTGCTGGCCCTTCTTCAGGGGACGTGGCTCCAGCCAGAGGCCTTGGGAAGTCAGCCAGTGACCAGAGCATGGCTGGAAGGGTGGACCCTGGATGCCAGGCTCTGTTCTCTACCAGCTGTATGACTCTAAGCAGGTGCCTTAACTCCTGTGGACCTGTGTACGCAGCAGGGGGCTGCATGGCACTAGACCAAGAGAGAGGTGAGGAGACCCCTCAGACACGGCAGCCAGGTTGGGCTGGGGAGGGCACTCACCTCCCTGGAGCTGTAGTTCAGGGTCGTCCCCGTCGGTAAAGATAAACGTCTGCAGAGAGATGGCCTGTGAGATTTCAAGGGGCGGACCCCCACCCCGGGGACTCTGGGCCTGGCAGGGCCTTGGCCTGGTGAGCAAGGGGGAATGAAGCGGAACAGGCGAGCCTGGGCTTGGGGATCCAGGAGAAGGGAGGGTGGTGAACCAGGGACAGCCTCCTCTACCTGCAGCATCCCCAGGGCTGCTAGGGCCAGGCTTGCTCTAGCTGGAGGCGTTTCTGGGGTCTCAGCCCAGAAGCTGGGAGAACCCAGTGAAGACTAGAGCCTGAGAAGGGGCAGGAGAGGGTGGGCACTGGGGGTCCTGGGTCCCTGAATTATCAGGCCTGGGGCCTGACAGCCATGCTGGGGACACGTCTGCGGGTAGGGGGTCTTGGGGTGGATCCTGGGTGGGGTCCAGGGCAGGATGCAAGTTTGAGGATGAAGGAGCGGGGATCTCGGGGCGTGCGAGTTTGCCAGAGGCGGGGGCTGGGGTGGGGGTGGTGGTGTCCCGAGTCAGCGGGGGTTTCGGAGTCGGCGGGGTCCCCGGGCGGACCCACCAGCTGTCGGGCCCGGGAGATCCAAGTGCGCAGCAGTAGTCCCAGGCGCGGCCCGTGGTTTTTTCGGGTGGTCTTGACCGCGATGAAGACGTCGTCCGGCCGCAGGCGGGGGGCGGTGGCGGGCCGGGCAGGGGTGGCGTCCTTCTCGCGCCCGGGCTCCGGCCGCAGCGTCCCGCCCGTCGGCCCCGGCAGGCCCGGCGCGCTAACGCTCTCTCTCCTTCAGCAGCCAGCCAGCTCTGTGTCAGGGTCGGGGGGTGCAGAGAGTCAGGACAGAATGCGGGGTGGCCCGGCCCCCCGCGCGGCCGCGTCGTCAGTGGCAGATGTGCACTGCACCCCTCCCAGCGGTAGGTCAGAGCTCTTCCTGCCGGGCACGGCCGGGGACTTCAGCCTGAGCGCCAGCCTGTCGGCCTGTACGCTGCTTTATGAGGTACCTTCCAGGACAGGGGCCGGGACCAGCCCGCCCGCCCGCCCGCCGGGCCGCGCAGGGCGCCCAGGTGCCCCACTCCCGTCTCCCGGCCGCGACTGCGGCCGGGTTCAGCCGCGGGACTCGCCCGGCGCTGCGGCTTCGGCTGTTCGGCCGCGTCGGGGTAGAGGCCGCCCGTGGCTTGGAGGAGGCTGCTGTCAGAATGGTGGCTGGGAGCGTGTAGCGACCCTTGGGGTCCCTGGGTAGTGGTCCTCCGGAGTCTGGTTCCCGCCCCAGAGATGGGCCATCATGGTCCGGCCGAGCGTTCAGCTCTTGAGCCAACAGTCTGGCCAGGAGCCCCATCCCTGGTGTGGCGGCGCTGGACTTGGTGGGCAGTGGGGAGGGTCTTGGGACAGGATCCCGCCCGCCTGGGAGATGGCGGGCAGAGCTGAGCTGGGCACAGTGAGGGCCTCTCGCCCTCTCTGGGCTTCTCCTCCTCAAGGTGTCAAGGTGACTGCCCGTGTTGCAGGGGGCCGTAGAGCCCATGCAGATTGACGTGGACCCCCAGGAGGACCCGCAGAATGCCCCCGATGTCAACTACGTGGTGGAGAACCCGACCCTGGTATGGAGTCTCATAGGCTCTCCTCCGGGGTGGGTCAAGGGGCTGGTTGGAGTGTCAGTCCTGCTGGGAATTCCAGGCTAGGCTCCCTGACCACATCTTTTTCTAACTCAGAAGCGTTTAGACTTTCTCTGTTGTTGTTCGGTCGCTCAGTCGTGTCTGACTCTGCCACCAAATGGACTAAAATATCTAGTTGCCCATTTTTAATGGGTTGCTGGCCTCCTCCAGACCCTGCAGCTGCTTTTCCCCCACATGGAGGAGCACCTTGTGCCAGCCCCCCTGAAGGTCCAGTCTCACTGCGAGGACAGCTCTTCCTTGGGGCCCCCCTTGGGAAGCCCTGCCTCATTGCTCAGCCTGGTGACTGGCTGCCCACGTGGCTCTGACCACTCACCCCCAGGGCAGAGCTTTACTCCGGGCCCCTGCACTGGCCCATCCTGAGTGGTCTTTCCTCAGACCCCAGGCAGTGGTTGATTTGGTGCCCACGTGTCCCGGCTCCTGACCCACTGGCGGGGGCTTGGGGTCCAGGGTCCCAGCTTGCACAATCTACCTCCACCCCCAGGATCTGGAGCAGTATGCGGCCAGCTATAGCGGCCTGATGCGTATCGAGCGACTGCAGTTCATTGCTGACCACTGCCCCCCGCTGCGAGTGGAGGCCCTGAAGATGGCCCTGTCCTTTGTGCAGAGGACTTTCAATGTGGACATGTACGAGGAGATCCACCGCAAGCTCTCAGAGGCTGCCAGGTGAGGCCAGGGCTCAGCAAGGTGGGGCAGGGACAGGGTGTAGTGTGTGGCGAGCCCAGGCAGAGGCCTTTCTTGTGCTCCTGCAGCATTTGGCTCCAGAACACAGTGATCTGGCTTTCTTGTTGAAAAGCCAGGAGGGGGTGGGGAATGGCTCAGTGGGCGAGATTCTCACTCTCCCTGCTGAGCATTCAGGCTCTTTCCACACCTGCATGCGTGTGTGTGTGTGTGTGTGCAGTTCTGACACTGGGCAGAGCCTGTGGAGACGGCAACTTCTGGCTTCTCGGCATAGCTGTGTGACTTATTTCTTGCTGGGCTTTCCCGCCAGGCTGCGGGCTCCTGCTGTCACAGCTGCCCCTGTGCCACCTGGGCGCTCTCCCGATGGGGGTGAGGGCCGCTGGGAGGCACCCGCCCCCCCTGCACGTGGGCCCCTGATGGCCAGGTCCTCCCTCAGGGAGCTGCAGAATGCGCCTGATGCCATCCCTGAGAGTGGCGTGGAGCCCCCACCCTTGGACACAGCTTGGGTGGAGGCCACGAGGAAGAAGGCCTTGCTGAAGCTGGAGAAGTTGGACACAGATCTGAAGAACTACAAAGGCAATTCTATCAAGGAGAGCATCAGGTATGCCCAGGGAGCTGAGGGGTGGGCCTCATCAGGAGAGCTTCAGGTGTGCCCTTGGAGTCAGGGGTTGGACAGCCAGTCCTATGGCCCAACCAGTGACCGCTTGTGCCCGGACCCACAGGCGTGGACATGATGACCTGGGTGACCACTATCTGGACTGTGGGGATCTCAGCAACGCCCTCAAGTGTTACTCCCGGGCCCGGGACTATTGCACCAGCGCCAAGCATGTTATTAACATGTGCCTCAATGTCATCAAGGTGGGCCCAGGGTGGGTGGCCACGGGGCAGCAATGCCAGTGGACCAGGAGGGGGCGCCCAGGCTGAGTGCATCCCACCTGCCTGCCAGGTCAGCGTCTACTTGCAGAATTGGTCTCATGTGCTGAGCTACGTCAGCAAGGCAGAGTCCACCCCGGAAATCGCAGAGGTAAAAAGATAGCTCTCTGCCCCTCAAACCCTGATCCAGGATTCCTGACCACTACTGACCCTGGTGGGCCCTGTCTTCCTGGAGTCTGCCTCTGCTCCTCTTAGGCTGGAGCCGGGCGCCTGGGAGTTGAGGGTATGGAGGGCATGTGTCACTCACTTTTGGCACCTTCTCCTGCAGCAGCGTGGGGAGCGTGACACCCAGACTCAGGCCATCCTCACCAAGCTCAAATGTGCAGCAGGTGAGGACCCCAGGGCATAGGGGCAGGAGGGCACCCCAGCTGACCCCAGCCTAGGAAACGCACAAGCCCCAAACCTGTGCTGCATGCACCAGATACTTGCCTGACTCATGTGCCTCTCAGGGAGGTCAGGAGGTAGGAACCCGTGGTTGGGGGTAGAGGCATTGCCTTCTGATAGCTGCCGTCCTGGTTGGTTACCCCCACTTCCATCCCCATCCCCACCTTCACCCCATTCCCACCCTGTCAGGTGAACAGCTCGGGTGCCCTTTGCAGTAGTAACAGCAGCTGCTCGGCCTCCTTGGGTGCCTGGCTCTTGCAGAAAGCTGCTGATGCTGGCCAATGAGGCTACCTCTCCCTCGCCAGCATTTCTGTCCCAGGTGTGCCTGTCGACAGGCAGCTTCCTCTGGGCTTCATCCTTCCTCCCTGCCGCCCCCAGGCCTGGCTGAGTTGGCAGCACGCAAGTACAAGCAGGCGGCTAAGTGCTTTCTGCTGGCTTCCTTTGACCACTGCGACTTCCCTGAGGTGAGGGACGTGAGGTCTCTGGGGAGGAGACCTCACTGGGACTTGGGAAGCAGGCTAAGTGCTCAAGAGTTGGGCTCTTTGTTGGGGGCTCATCGTCATGAGGTCTTAGGCATTCTGAGGGGGCAATGGGTGAGATAGGGTGGGCCTGGCCCAGACTTCTGTGCTGCCTGCCGTTGACCCCCGGTCTCTGATCACCTCCCTTGCTCCTCAGCTGCTCTCCCCCAGCAACGTGGCCGTGTATGGCGGCCTGTGCGCCTTGGCCACCTTTGACCGGCAGGAGCTGCAGCGCAATGTCATCTCTAGCAGGTGGGTGGAGGGTGGGGTGCTGGGCCCTACAGCTCTGCTCCTGTGCCCCTGGCCGCCTCCAGGGTAGTGGGTGGGCAGGGCCAGCTCTGAGGAATCTGGCATCTGCAGCTCCTTCAAGTTGTTCTTGGAGCTGGAGCCACAGGTTCGGGACATCATCTTCAAATTCTATGAGTCCAAGTATGCCTCATGCCTGAAGATGCTGGATGAGATGAAGGTGAGGGGCGTGGCCTGGCTGGAAGGGCGGGCAAGTTCAGAAGGCTTGGGGCAAGCTGTCCCTGACTGGCTGTCCTTGCCAGGACAACTTGCTGCTAGACATGTACCTGGCTCCCCACGTCAGGACCCTGTACACACAGATTCGCAACCGGGCCCTCATTCAGGTAAGCATTCTGGTGGAGGACGAGGCCGGGCGCTATGGAGGCGTCTTTGAGTAACTCACGTTCCCTCTGCTCTGCAGTATTTCAGCCCCTACGTGTCAGCTGACATGCGCAAGATGGCCACAGCCTTCAATACCACAGTGGCGGCGCTGGAGGATGAGCTGACGCAGCTCATCCTGGAGGGGCTCATCAACGCCCGCATCGACTCCCACAGCAAGGTGGCCGGACTCAGGGCCGTGGGGTGCGGGAGAGGGACCTTGGGCCCCACTGAAGCTTGCACCTCCACAGATCCTGTATGCCCGGGACGTAGATCAACGCAGCACCACCTTTGAGAAGTCTCTGCTGATGGGCAAGGAGTTCCAGCGCCGTGCCAAAGCCATGATCCTGCGGGCGGCCGTTCTGCGCAACCAGATCCACGTCAAGGTGTGGGCAGGGACAGCCCTGGGACTGGAGGGATGGGACGGGTACACACACCTTCCTGGTCTGAGCCTTGTTTCCACTGCAGTCCCCTCCCCGGGAAGGGAGCCAAGGGGAGCTGACACCGGCCAACAGCCAGTCCCGGATGAGCACCAACATGTAAGAGCAACCTCCACCTCCAGGATGGTCTGCGCACCCCCACCCTGTCCACCCCCCACTCTCGGACTCCTGGGCCTCTCATCTGCTCCAGCGGCACCCCCCGAGGTGTTGCCTGTGGCCCACTTGCAGGGGTCTGGCTGCTGACTGATGCTAGTCCTTGGTGCCCCCGCCTGGGCTTCCATGTGCCCAGATTCTTGTGCCCCCTCCCCCTCGCTGCACCTTGTGCCGGGGGCCTGGGGAGGAGGTGGGCTTTCCTTGAAGGAGAAGCCCACAGGGCTAACCCACATGTCACCTGGGGCGCCCACTGGGAGCACTGCCTCCCAGCCTCCATGTTGATGCATCGTTTGAGGTTGCAGCGTTGTTGAATCTTAGTCCATTAAAGGGCAGCCTGAGAACAGCCCCTGGTACCACTCCTTCCTGTCTCCATGGGGCCCCCTTTCCTCACACTCTACTTGGCTTTGCGGGGCGGAGGCCAGCACATGGCCCTCCCTTAGGCAGGTCTCCATGGCTAAGATGAAGGCAGGAGGTGCCTTGCCCACTTTCCCTGTTCTAAGGTCGGCCCCCATTGGCCCCAGTAACATTCATGTTATCAAAAAGCCTGGGAACATCCCATCTTTGAAATGGTTTATTGTTCATTTTGAACACACGCGGGCTGTGAGGAGGGCAGGTCCAGCCTGGGAGCCTGCTCCTCAGTACAGCATCTCCGGGCCCCCAGGATGGGCCGAAGGGAAGACCAGCTTGTCCTTCCGTGTGAAGTAGCAGGAGGTTCCCTGAGTAAAGGCGTTTCCTTAAGTGGGACGTCAGTTGAGGCTTCAGCAGCAGGCCTGGGGGGTAGCACATGGGGCTGTAGCTGCCCATTTTAGGCCAGGGCACCGCCCACAACCTCAGGGAAGCCACCTGGTTCTCCAGGCCCGGCCTGCTGTGGTTCCTGCAGCCGCGGCTGGGCACCCTTCCAGGCCAGAGACCTCTCCAATTTGGTTTTAAAAAGCAGTCCGTGACCTGGTAGAGGGGCAGGAGGAGGGAAATGGGGCTCAGGAGGCTGAGGCTCCACTGCCCACTGGGGAACGGGGTGGTGCTGATGGCAGCAGGCGCTCCTCACCTGGGCAGTCGGCAGTCTCCTTGAAAGCTCGCTTCTTGCAGCAGCCCCGGCATAGGTTAAACACACACCTGTTGCCCTGGACACAGAAAAGCTTGTGAGCCAGGGGCTAATACCCCTTCCTCAGCCACCCTGTAGCCTGAGTGGCCAGGAGCATGGAAGAGCTGTCCTGAGGCCAGGCAGAGCTACTTTACAGGAAAGAAGCCCCCCTACCATGGGCGGTGACCCGGCTGCCACCAGCACAGATAGAAAAGGGACTCCCCGTGCAGGTCCCCACCGCTCCTGCGGCTGAGCTCTGCCCTAGGTTTTAATAGCCGGGACGGACGGACTCACCTTTGGGTTTCCACACTGATCACACTTTGCGTATTTTGCTGAGAAAAGAGCGAAAGGAGGTGCTGTTGGAACTAGGTAAGGCCACCCACCACTGCCACCTTTTACATGTAGCCTTTGGTAGGTGTCCCTGCTCTCTTGGGGTGGGCAGAGGACACAGCATACATGGTCCTACTGGGAAACCTCATCTCACTTGAAGGTCCTTCCTGGGCATGGCAGCCCCTAGCCCTACTCCTGCCTCTCTAGCTGCCCTAGGGCAACAGTTAAGGGACAGTGGAAGGCAGGATGGCTGGCTGGCTGTGGCCTCAGGGAAACTGCCAGTCTCCTTGGGGCATGTGGAAGGGTTGCAGGGCCCTTCCTGCTGGACTGCCCACAGCGTAGGAAGCAGCAGAGCCATGTGACCCTGGGGGACCCGTTAGGGGCTGGCCTTTTTGCCAAACTCCAGTGGTGGGAGCCACTTACGCTTCAGTGAAGGGTCAAAGGTCTTGTGGGGGTTCCTCAGCTTCTTCTTCTGCTTGTTCTTGGATAAGACATCCGTGGTGCCCTCCTCCTCCTCCAGGGCCCGCTTGCTGCGGGCACCCCCATTCTCCTTGCTCCCCTCCTTGGGCCTGAAAGCGGGGAAGGTGGGCAGAACTGAGAGACACCCATGAGAGGCAGCCCACCAGCTGCAGTCCCTAGATGAGGACGTATGTGCAACTCTGCTGAGGCCCCAGCAGCCAGCACGGAGGCTGGACACCAGTGTCTGAACCCTGGGTAGGGCTCTGGCTACAGATGACAGCCCAGCCTCACTTCAGAAAGTCCAGAGGAAGCTAGAGAGGGTCTAGCTGATCCCAGGACAAATCCACTCAGGGTCAGAGGACCTTAGAGAAGCATCATATGGAAAAAGCAATTTAAATAAAACAGCACAGGCTGATAAGGAAGGAGGCCCCTAGTCACCAAGGGATGGAGCTGAGCCTCCCAGCACGTCCAAGGCTGGGCAGCAGGCAGAAGAGTCCCCTCCTCTGTGTAACACCTCCCACCTAGGTCAGCCCATGTGCAGGAGGCTCACCCTGGCCGGAAGTAGGGCTGGCAGATCCAGTGGAAGAAAGGCAAGCCTCCTGAAGGCTTCTCTCCCTCCTTCTGCCTGGATATGTCCTCCTAGAAAAGCCCAAAGGGCTCTCAGTTAAGAGGCCCAAGACCAAGTCTCTCCCACCACATGGTGGCCCAGCACCTACCTGACACCGCAGTTTTAGCTCCTGGCTCACTGCAGCAATGCCCTCCAGGGTCTTCACTTTGGCGAGCTCCTCTCGAAGCTGCTGATGCACCTGCAGCCTAATACAGATGCTCCATCAGAGAGCCGGCTCAGCCCCCACCTCCCAACTGCTGACCCTGAGCCTTTGGCACAGAGGGGCACAATCCCTCCCCCCCCCCAACCTCACCACATCACTGCGGTCCTCCCAGACCTGACTTGGTGGCAGGTGATTTTGTGAATGTCTGTGGAGAGCTTATCTTAAAAACCCCAAAGGCCCCAGGCAAGGCTCAGATCAGACAGCATCTGCCATGGGGGTTGACTCACGTGTGGTGCCACAGCTTAAAGAGATGGGCCCGGACGTAGGAGAGGGGGCAGGGGTGCTGCCGCACAATGTCCAGGTACTCCTCGGCCAGCTCCCACACGGCAGGGCTGCGGCCCTCGAACAGGGCAGGGTTGTGCAGGTTTCCCTCTGCAGGGGAAGGTGATGCAAGGCTCAGGGCCCCTGTGCCTGGCCATCCCCAGGGCAAGGCTGGCCACTGGCCTGAGAGTGCTGGCCAGTCAGGCAGATGGGGCTTCGGTGATGACGCGTGAAGCCTGAGGCTCTTCAGCTGGGCCAGTGGTGCCACAATGTGGACGGACCCCTCCAGCACCTGACAGTGGTGGCCCAGTTGCAGGCGAGGGCACAGCCTCACCTGCACTCATGACCCCTTGCACCCCCGTGTCCTGGATGCAGCGCTCCACATCCCGCAGGCACTGGATATTCCCGTTGGCAAACACAGGTATGGCCACCGCCTTCCTGTCGGGGAACAGGATGAGCACACACTCAGAAGGATGCTGCTTCCCCCAACCCTGGGGGCAGTACCAGGCCCCCAAACTCCACCTTCCCACTGAGCTGCTCGCCCTCAGGCCCTGCGCCCTCATCTCGTGCCCAGAGGCCTGAAGGCCTTGCCCCGGGGCTGGACTGTCTCCCCGCCCTGGGCCCACCCGTGCCCACTCACCGCACAGCCTTGATGTGCTCCCAGGACGCGGTGCCTGACAGGGGCCCCTTCTGCTCCTTGGTGCGCCCATGGACAGTCAGCAGCTAGAACACGGGAGCACCTGGTTCAGCTCCACTTTCAACTGCAGCCCCCAACACTCCAGGGGACTCTCTGCCTTTGGCTTCTCGGGCGTCAGCCTCCCTCACTCCTCTGGGCCACACTTGGGCCAGCTGACACCCTGGGAGTGCTGCGTAGGAATCCCATGTCAGAGCTGTCCCTCTATGCCGCCCAGGATGTGGAAGTGAGAGCCCAAATGCTTTCAAGGGCCAGTCCTCTTTGCAGTGGCAGCAGGAGTGCTGCCAAGGCCAAAGGTGTGAGGGAGGAGCAAGCACCAGCCTGACCCCAGGACTGGTGGGGGTGGGTGGGGAGAAGGTGATTCAGGCCCAACACCACCCCTAGGCAATACTGGCCTCCTGGACGCAAGCATGGGACTTCCCTACCTGCATCAGGCCTCACCTAAAGGTCACCGATTCCTGCCCATCCCAGGGGTAAGCCCTCAAGGGGTGTTTCTGGAAGTGCGGAAGCAGTTTGGAGCCCTGGAAGCCCACCGTCCTCACCTGGCAGCCAGCCTTTTCCAGCATCTGGGCATATCTCACAGTCTTGTCGATCTCTGGGAAGACGCGGATCTTGCATGTGACGGGAACAGAAAGCTTTTCGTGGGCTAGCAGAACTGGGGAAGGGCAGAGTCGGCTCCTGAGAGAACTGTGCTGCCACCTTCAAGTAGGCTGTGGGGACCCATGGCTAAGCCCCCAAAGGAACACAGGCTCCACAGACGTCCCGCATGTGAGTTGTGCCTCCAATCACACTGGAAGAGGTGGTCCAGGCAAGGATGCCTCCTTCCAGTACACCATCTATTTGGTTTGAAGGAGGGCAACAGGTATGGGACAGGCAACTTCACAGCCGCCCTCTACAGCAGGAAGGGGGAGGGCACACCAAGGCCAGGAGGACTCTGCCAGCTACTGTCCTCTCCTGAGCCCTGCTGGGCTGTCTCGGACTTGCCACCCAACTACAATGTGGCCCCACGTCCCCAAGGGCAGCACACGGCCAACTCACTCATTCTCTGGAGCAGGTCCCACTCCTCCTGCAGGAAGGCGCCATAGTGACCTGCAAAGAACAAGCACAGCCTCTGCACCCTCCCCCTGCATCCACACTGGCCTCGACCTGCCTGGCCACGTTCTTTCAGTTCGGTGGCCTGAGCTCAAGGGTGCTGAGCTGAGTGCCCACCCCATGTGGTCTCTGACCAACCAGGAACTCCCCAGGCCAGTGAGGGAGAAAGGCTGAGATGCCAGGGCAGTGGCCACTGGTGCCCGAGGCAGCACAAGGGTGGAGGAGGGACTCTTCAGCAAAACACATTTATCCAGAGGGAGCCCCACAACTTCCTGAGCATGGAGGAAGTAACAAGCCCCTGACGGCCAGGTGAACCTTGTCCCCTACCCCCAGTGACCGAGAAGGGCCACCCTACAGAGGGAGGAACAAAGAAAGGGCCCACATCAGAAAGCTGCCAGAGGAAGGCCCTCAGCCAGCTCACCCACACATCTGGCATCTCTGCACTCCAAGCCTTGCCCTAGCCAAAAGCCGGTACACAACACAGAACCCCAGAACAGGAACTCTTACCTCGTTTGGCAATCATCTGCGGGCAGCCCAAATTCAGGTCGATGGCATCACAGTAGTCCTGAGCCAAGAGAGCCGCCTGGACAAACACCTCTGGGTCATTGGCACAAAACTGGAAGAGACATGACTGTTGCCACAAGCCCCAGCCAGGCCCTGGCACCGGGGCTGCCCAGGGGTTCATAGGTGGGAGCGTAGCCCCAGGGGATGACTGCAGGATGGTATCCTATCTTAGATGTTTACAATATGACCAAGCTAGAGATGTCCCTGGTGGTCCAGTGGTTAAGACGCCATGCTTCCACTGCATGGGACACGAGTTCAAATCTCTGGTTGGGGAACTAAGATCCCACATGTCACACAGTGTGGCCAAAAAAAAAGCAACATGACCAAGCTAGGATGCACCCCCATGCCACCAGCAGAGCAAGTTACAGATTCACACAATCCTCCCAGATGTAGCAGAAAGCCAGTATCACTGACTTTGCCAAGAGCAGAGCTGTTCTGTCTGTCTGATAAAGAGGGGGCACCTGGGATGATGTCAAGGGCGGGGAGGGAGGGGCTGCAAATCTTCCACAGCACCCAAGCCATCCACTTGCCAAAAGTCTGAGGCAGCTACTGGGAAGAGATCAACCTCTGTAAGAACTGGCCTGCCCTTGCCCCTCTGATCTCGGAAAGCCGGGAAGCCTTTTCTGGAAAGGCCCAGGAAAAGGTTCTCGGCCAGTGTTGGAGGCTGGGCTGCTAACCTGTACAATGAGAGGCCGGTCCTCGGGGCACACATCGCAGTACAGGTTCTCCTTTCGGTAGTTGGCATCACGGACAAAAACCTGGGCATGCAGCATGGGTGTGTAGCACAGCTGGGCCCCGTGTCGGCGGCTCAGCAGCCTCCAGGCCAGCTCGCTCTGGTCCACCATGGGGGCCACTACGTGGCGGGCCCCCCCCAGGGTGCGGCTCCAGAACTCAAAGCCTTCCAGCTTTGGCATTGCCTCCACACTGAAGGGCAAGACCATGGGCTCAGCCGCAGCCAGTGGAGCACAGGTGCAGGAGGTGACCCCCCCTCAAGGCTGCTCTAGGGCTGCCTGACGGTCACAAACGCGGGTGCTAAGGGTGTCGGCTGATGCAGGCCAGGAGCTGACGCCTCATTGCTGTCGCCTTCCAGTGGAGACCGTGGGCAGGTTACTCAAACTTTCTGAGCTTTAACCTCTCACTTCTTAGCGGGATTAAGATGTCTGCCTGGCAGGACTGGCATGAAGAGTAAATGGAACAGTGATTGATAACCTGTCAGTGCTTTGCCTGTCAGGGGAGGCCATCACAGAAGGCAGCTACAACCCACAAGACCTGGAGATCCCCACCAAGGCAGGACCACCCTGTAGTGACGCTGCCCTCCGGGCCCACCAAGCAGCCCATGGCAGTCACCTGGACACTGTGCCCTCCTCTGGGTGTCAAATGTATAAAAGCACTAAGAGTACGTTCCCTCTGGCTTCTCTTACGCACGCCTGGCTAACCTTATCAGAGCCACCGATCCCTACAGTGACTTAACAGGTGGTAGGTGGCCTGGGAATTACAACTGGAAACCTCAAAGGATCAGATCGTAACGAGGGACTGTCAGAGAACACCGACCTCCTGTACTACTTTGGGAATTATTAAGCAGGGTCATCGGCTTAACAATTGCCTAAGCGCCCAGTTGTGGGTTTATTTTCGGGAACTGTGAAGCGACATGTAAAAATCAATATGATGCCCATAGAGGCCTGGACACGAGGCGCCGAGCGCAGGGCCCTCCACCTCCACCCAAAGGAAGAGCCCCGGGGCCCCAGAGAACCGCGGGTCAAACTTGAAGGGAACCTACCTACCTGGGCGGAGCCGAGCCACCTGGGCGCCCGAGCCGGGTCGAAGTTCCTTTCTGCGCAGCTGGGCCCTTCGGGGCCGGGGGGGATAGCCAGGGGCCCGCCAGGGGCCCCACCGGGAGCTCCGGGGATGCGGCTAGGGTACCGCGGAGTGGAGCTCCTGGGCTCACCCCACGGCTTAAGACCGCCACGCTGGGGCCGCCACCGGGCCGCCGCCGGGCCCAGGGCTCCGCGCTGGGGCCGCTGGGAGGTGCTCCGTCAGGCAGTTCCGGGCGGCCCGCGGTGCTGCGAGAAACGCATTCCCGGGAAACCGCACCCGGCTGCTGAAGGGCCCGCCGCTCGGCGGAGGGGCGGTGTGCGGGGTGGGGGTCGTAGGCTAGAAGTCGACCCCGCCCGGCGCGGTGGGGCAGTTTCGCAGCGGTAGGGCCGGACAGGGGCCGCTGGGGCTCTCCCCTCGCTTGAGGGGGCTGGTTATCGCCCGGGTGCCACCGTACCCGAACCCCCGCCCTCCCCAGCAGAGGCTCGGGGCTAAAGTCCTCGCCTCGGCCCCCACGCGGAATCTCATAAAAGTCTTCGAAGGACCAAAAATCTCTGTTTAATTTCGGAAAGCAAACACCGCGTGAAATTCCTGGCCCGCGGCCCCCAAAGCGCCGCGCTCGGCCTCCCAGACCCACAGGAGTCTTCATTGTAAACTTAAGACACGCGAGAGTCACCGGCTTAGCGAATATAACCACCTTACTTACCTCCTGCTTGTTCTCCTAAATACTCTTCCCTTTCCTAAAGAAACCGATTGATCCTCGTTTTCCCCCTCTCCCTCCCTTTCTCCTATTACCTTCGGTTACAGAAACCTCTACCTCTGATTACTGAGTGTCGGTCCTCTGTATCCGCCAGAGGGTGTGAATATACTTTCTTCCTGTTCACCTGTCTTTTGTCAATTTTATTTGCAGGACCCCTAAACACAGTCCCAAAAGGGAAGAGGGAAAGTTTTTCCTCTAGCAGAACCAAGTTTCATTTTACCATTTCATCCTTAAGTATCTCAGTATCCTCCAAAGACAGGAATTTTTAGAGCAATATCATTAACACACCTGAAAAATCCCTATTTCCTAAGATCAAATATCCATCCTTGTGTGTCCAGTATGGCAGCCAGCTGTCACATCTTGAGTGCTGGAATGTGGTCTGAATTAAAATGTGCTCTAACAGGAAAAAGACACACCAGATTTCAAAGACTTAGGGGAAAAAAAGTAAAAGTTAATTCATAATTTTAAAAATATTGATATGTTGAAATAATATTTTTTATATTACATTAGGTTACATATGAGTGCCTAATACGGCAAATTCCCTGGTGGCTCAGATGGTAAAGAATCTGCCTGCAATGCAGGAGACACCAGTTAGATCCCTGGGTGGATTCCCTGGAGAAGGGGAAAGCTGCCCAATCCAGCATTCTCGCCTGGAGAATTCCATGGACAGAGGAGCCTGGTGGGCTACAGTCCATGGGGTCATAAAAAGTCAGACAGGACTGAGAGACTAAGACTAACACTTTTTCTTTTTTTCTCTTTGCGGGTTAAATATATTATTGCAATTAATTTGATCTTTTTAACTTTCTCGAAATGTGGCTACTGGAAATTTTAAACTTACATATGTGGGTGGGATTTGTGGCACAGCAGATTGAGGAGCTCACCAAATTTCTTCCCAAAACAGCAAAGATAAAACTGGACAGAATTGTTAAAAGCAACCATTTCAGGACTCTGGAAGTTGATCAAATTTCATACCATATTTGAAAAGCACTTATTAAAAAAAAAAAAAAAAGAACTGCACATCTATGAGAAGACCAGTGGGAGCCTGTGATTTCAGTATTGTACAATTTTTATTTCCTTCCTCCCACTGGTAATTCCACCAGAGCCTGGTAGGCCTTGAGGGCCTCTAGTTCCTATAGACTCTGGAGAGAGCTGGCTAGACTGGGAAATAGGGAAAGCCCCAGAAAACAATTGTAATCACAGTAGCAAACAACTGGGTGAAAGTGTTAGTCGCTCAGTCAGGTTTGACTCTTTTCTACCGCATGCACTATAGCCTGCCAGGCTCCTCTGTCCATGGAATTCTCCAAGCAAGAATACTGGATTGGGTAACCTTTCTCTTCTCCAGGAGATTTTACTGACCCAAGGACTGAATTGAACCTGGGTCTCCCACATTGCAGACAGATTCTTTACTGTCTGAGCCACCGGAGAAGCCCCAGACAACTGGGTAGAAACCTGTATCTTGGCTGCCTGATACTGGTTGCAGAAAGCAATAGTCCAGCCATAAATTTAACAAAGAAATTCAGTAAATGAGCTAGCCATGTGGGCCTTGATAAGATAGTAATTTGCTAGGCTGTGCATATAGCAAGGAAAGACCAGAGTTGGCCACAGCTATATACTCCTGTCTGACTGAAGAAGAGGCTTTGTGCAAGGAAAAAGCTGGGCCCAAACAATAAACTGCTTGAGCTAACTGCAAAGGGTGGAGGCCTTACTGGTTCAGTAGACTTAAGCATAATCGCTAACCAATAACTGGCTGGCCATTAAACTATAATGGCCCAGGGATAAGTCTTAGGAAACCAGGCTTGCATATAAAAAAAGGTTTTATTTTTGGCCTTGCCACATGGCTTGTGGGATCTAAGTTCCCCAACCAGGGATTGTACCTCAGCCCTCTGCCATGAGAATGCAGAGTCCTAACCACTGAGCCACCAAGGAATTCCCTAAAAAAAAAAGATTTAAAAAAATCTAGTAGAGGACTGACTTGGCAGTCCAGTGGTTAAAACTCTGTGCTTCCAATGCAAGGGGCACAGGTTCCATTCCTGGTCAGGGGACTAAGATCCCACACGTCTCAGTGTGGCCAATAAAACCAAAAAAATCCAGTAGAGATACCAGTGGCAACACACTGTAGGGGAAACAGACCATATAGAATTCATCCAGGTTGGGTGCTGAGCAAACAAATGCCAACATCAATAAACACATACAGTAAGGCAAGGAGGGGGTCAGAGTCCAGAGTTACTTACTACAACATATTATGAATGCCCAGTTTTTAATAAAATTTTATAAGACAGACAAAGAAACAAAAAATTTAGGACATACACAGGAGGAAAAAAAGAAAGGTTCCTAGAAACTGTCCCTGAGGGGGCTCAGATGATGGAGTTAGCAGGCAAAGAATTAAAGCAGCTACTGTAAATATGTCCAAAAGACAAAAAGAAACCGTGTTTAAAGATTTTTTTTTTAATGTGATGACGACTCAACAAGTTAAGATTATCAATATCTTTAAATGATTCTTAAAAAGCCAATGGAAATTATGAGCTGGAAACACAATAACTAAAATGAAAATTTCACTAGAGGGCCTCAGCAGATATGAACTGGCCAAAGGAAGAATCAGTGAATTTGAAGATAGATCAGTAAACATTATCCAATCTGAAGAACAGAAATGAAAAAAGCATAAAGAAAAATGAACAGCACCTCAGAGACCCATGAGATACCATCAAGAATACACATATAATACATACACATCCAAGAGAAAGGAAAGACGAAAAGGAACAGGAAAAAGTTTTTTGAAAAAGTAATGGCCTCAAACTTTCCAGATTTTATGAGAAAAACATTAATTTACCAATCCAAGAATCTTAAGAGGATATATAGAAAGATATTCACACCTAGACACATGATAGTCAAACTGCTAAAAGACGGACACAAACTCTTGAAAGCAGTAGGAGAAAGCAACTCATCAGCTTGTGATTCATCCAGCCTGGCATTTTGTGTGATGTACTCTGCACATAAGTTAAATAAGCAAAAATCACATGATCATCTCAATATATGCAGAGAACAAAATCCAACAGCTAATCATGATTTAAAAAAAAAAAACCTTGATAAACTAGGAATTGAGGGAAAATTTCAATTTGATGACAAGTATCTACAAAAAACTTACAACTAACATCATAGTCAGTGGTGACAGACTGAGCTTTTCTCTTAAGATCAGGAAAAGCTAAGAATGCCAACACTTACCACTCTTATCCAAAATAGTACTAGGAGTTCTAACCAGTGCAATAAGAGAAGAAAAAGAAATAAAAGGCCTTGTGATGGCTTCCCTGGTGGCTCACTGGTAAAGAATCCCCCTGCCAATGAAGGAGACATGGGTTTGATCCCTGATCCCAGAAAACCCCGCATGTCACGGTACAGCTAAGCCTGTGTACCACAACTACTGAACCTCTGCTCTAGAGCTTCAGAACCTCAATAAGGGGAGCCTTTGCACCACAACTAGAGAGCAGCCCCAGCTCTCCTCAACTGTAGAAAAGCCCACGCAGCAACCAAGGCCCATCACAGCCAAAAATAAAATAAACATTTTAAAAAGGCATTGTGGTTTCAATTTTTATTTCCCTAATGACTAAAGCCAATCTGATCACACGGACCACAGCCTTGTCTAACTCAATGAAACTAAGCTCTGCTGTATGGGGCCACCCAAGATGAATGGGTCATGGTGGAAAGGTCTGACAGAATGTGGTCCACTGGAGAAGGCCATGGCAAACCACTTCAGCATTCTTGCTTTGAGAACCCCATGAACAGTATGAAAAGGCAAAAATATAGGACACTGAAAGATGAACTCCCCAGGTCAGTAGGTGCCCAATATGCTACTGAAGATCAGTGGAGTAATAACTCCAGAAAGAATGAAAGGATGGAGCCAAAGCAAAAACAACACCCAGTTGTGAATGGGATTGGTGATAGAAGCAAGATTCGATGCTGTAAAGAGCAATATTGCATAAGGGCCTGGAATGTTAGGTCCATGAATCAAGGCAAATTGGACGTGGTCAAACAGATGATAAGAGTGAACATCGACATTCTAGGAATCAATGAACTAAGATGGACTGGAATGGGTGAATTTAACTCAGATGACCATTATATCTACTACTGTGGACAGGAATCCCTTAGAAGAAATGGAGTAGCCGTTATAGTCAACAAAAGAGTCCGAAATGCAGTACTTGGATGCAGTCTCAAAAATGACAGAACGATCTCTGTTCGTTTCCAAGGCAAACCATTCAATATCACAGTAATTTAAGTCTATGCCTCGACCAGTAACGCTGAAGGAGCTGAAGTTGAACAGTTCTATGAAGACCTACGAGACCTTCTAGAACTAACACCCCAAAAAGATGTCCTTTTCATTATAGGGGACTGGAATGCAAAAGTAGGACTTCAAGAAACACCTGGAGTAACAGGCAAA